ACAAACAGTATTGGTTCTTAAGTAGATAAAGTGACAAGTAGGTAAGTAACTCTAGTAACAGTTATTGTTGTTCTTTTCTCATGTGTGAATTTTCCTCCAGTACAGCGACCAGGGTTTCTCTCTGAACAAGCGCATCGAGAGAAAATGGTCAGAAGCAAGAAGACCGAGCAGTCCAGGATCTACAGCCATCTGTGGGACCGGATCCTCTCTCAATGAGGTTAGCTCTTGTGCATCATTGCAAGAAGACACCTCCAGGCCTCTCCGTGTGGAGTTTGTGAAAGCTGATATATAAATAAATATTACTTACTGGACCTTAAATGTGTGTAAGCCCTCAGTCGTACAGGGATTAGTCAATGCAACTGGACCTTACTTGCGAACACTAAGGGTGACAACAGCACTCGGTCAGTCCACTCCTATAATTTGGTTTCTTTGCACACCTCAAAATGACCTTGTAATAAAATCTTAATTCTGTTCAATTCAATGTGTTTGTGTATTGCCCTAAATCACAACAGACGTCTCAAAAGGCCTTTTACAACCCTCCTGCATCAGCAAGGAACAACTCGAAAACCCAATTGGAAAAAAGTGAGAAACCTCAGGCCGGCCCATGTTGAGGGAAGCATCCACTCTTTAGATCCAGGACTCAGACTGTAGAACGAGGACTGAGGAGGCTTCCAGTCTGGCTGGGGGGTGCAGCCCATGAGTCCAGGCCGGTAGAGACCAGTCCACAGATGGAAGAGGCCAGAATTCTCTCCTGTTTTCGCTCAAATCAGCCGCAGCAGTCAGAATCTCCTTGAATGTTTTGTGACAATGTCTTGCTTTGTCGCTTCTGTGGAGACCTGGAGAATTTGTGACAGCGAGGGGAAGAATCACAGCCTGTTTTTCTTTTTCATCTTGAGTCTGAAAACATCAGTGAAGCTGCCACTTACGGTGAAGGACAGACACACACACATTCTGCTCTGCTTTGAATGTAAGTATGTAAATCTACGTACACACACATACTGTATATACATATTGCCTTTACCACTGGATAATTGCCTGTTTGTTTTGCTGAGACACGTCGAGCCCCAAGGAAAACTGAAAGCTTGATAGAAACAAAATAATATTCCTATGTGCTTTTATTTTCCCTCCAAGAATTTACACTGCAAAAAAATGATAAAAAGGAGGTCAATAATTGCTTGAAAAGAGTGGTTTTCATCTTCACTTGAGCACATTATGGCTGTGTTAAAACAAGATTTGACAATAGAACCAAGCCATTTAGTCTTATTTTTCAAGATTTTTTGCTTTAATCACTGCAGAACTTCAATCAAGATGCAAGATACAAGAATTTATTTGCCATTTGCAGTAAAACCACATTGGAAAAACTGTACAAGACCACCCCAGTGTGCACCAGAGAGAGAAAATCACTTCTCAAACCCCACCTGTTCGAAACTGCCTACACTTAAAGCTGCACTAACTCACTTTGTGAAACTTTCAAATGTGAGCGCTCACAAAGCTATCGCCCCCTTCCCCCTCCCACTCAGCCTGTGCTTATGTGTTTACGGAGCTCATGTCTCACAATATGGATCACACATTTGAGCGTGGATGGCGTGACCATAGAATGATTGAACCGGGAAGCGCGGAGGAACGAGACTTTCTTTTGGCTGTTTCGCTGAGTAAGCAGAAACCGGTAACAAAGACACAGGAAGTTTCAGGTTAGCCTCCGCCGCTTGTTTACCTCAGCTGTCTGTGCTAACAAGAGACCTGTGGCTTTTCTCAAGAAAGTGGGGGCCAGTGGTCCGCTGTGATTGGTCATAATCTGGACCCGAAACACATTCTCTTCCTTGTTGCACAAAAACTCGATCTAAAATAAAATGACACGCCAGCACAAATCTGCGCTGCTTATTCTTCAAAAGGACGTATGTCCCAATGCACTGCGTGGATATGGATTCTAGTGAATGCAAAAATAAAGTGAGGTAATGCAGCTTTAACTGTCAATTTTTTTATCTTTATTTTTTTTTCTTCTGTAAAGCGTCTTTGAGTGTGAAAAGAAAGCACTATATAAGTACAATGTATTATTATTATTTATTTTTCTCATTCCCAGGGAGACATTTCTTTTGTCTTTTTTGACAACAAGGTCATTTATTTTTTTCCTGTGCCAAATCTTGTTTTAAGGCTGTCAAAATGCGCTCAAATTGAGAAAAATTGTGCCAAATTTGAGCAATTTTTGACTTATTTTTCCTCACTTTTTGCAGTGCTAGAGTGTGCTCAGGCGGTTTGTTTTTCCCCGTGGCTTTGAACACAAACAAACAAACCCTAATTTGTCATTATTTTCCAGCAGTAAGAGTAAAGGGCTACGGAGGCCCAGTGGGTTTCTGACGGAGGATAAACGCCTCGTGAATTTAATGGTTTGAAAACAATTTAGAAATAGTCAAAGGGCAGGACAATAGCTCTCTTCAATGTGTCCGACCAAAACACTAAAATGCTTTTATCCTTTTAGCGCAGCACCTGCAACGGGTTTTTAAAAAGGGGATTTTATACAGACCAGTCCAACTTACTTTGTGTTTTTGTGCCAAACAGTTCAAGGAGAAACAATAACACACAAAAAACTAGCATAGTTTCAGCGATCGGTTTAAGTTACCGACGGCAACAGGAAGTTCCGTAAACTGTGAGTTCTTCTGGCCTCTAGGGGGCGCTATATCTGCGGCTAGATCATTGGGCGCATATGCAATTCAATTTATTCATGTATATTTGAAGTGGACCGGGTATTGTTAGCAGATTTGAACATACATGTAAGCTAGCTGGAGCCAATTTCCTTGTATGTGCATTTGTTTTAACCATGTTAGCTTCGTGCCGTAAAAGGGGCCGACGTGTTGCTAAGATGGTTGCTAAGGAAAGCTTCCCCCTACAAATTAAGGCTCAAAGCTGGATTCATAATAATATTGATGTCACACTGAGAAAAAAGTTCCATCAACCAATCAGCTTTCTCAGTGCGCGTCGTACAGGTCTGGAACACGATACCAAGGTCAAGTTTATCTATATAGCACATTTTAAAAACAGACACAACTGTCAGAAAGTGCTTCACAGACATTACAAAATACATAACAACATACAAAAACACAAATAAGATCAGTGAAGAAGCGAGAGTGCGATTCACTTGTGTCGCCAGGTCAATCGGAGCCAGAGCGAGATAGAGCAAAACTTCGTCCCTGAGCACTTCCCTATTGGGCTTCATTGAGCTAGTGGGTTAGCGTTGTCCATCTATATACAGTCCTCCTAACATAATATCCACGCCTAATATACGGTCCATGATTTCACTGATCCAGCAAAATCCAATCGACACTTGACAAATCCTATTTCCACTTATTTCATAATGAAGCGCTGAACCTGCTCGTCTCTCAACCTCTGACGTGTTTTTGTAAGAATTAATCCTAAAGACATCGGCGTGTGCAGTCTGGTTCTATCCCACACTGATGTCGTGTTGCATCCATTATCCCCCCCAGCACGGTGCAGGTGTCTCTGGGCTCTGTTCCATCCTAATCATGTCTTTGACTCGTTGCTGCTATTTTCACACTAATTGACGTCTGAAAAAGTGAAGACGTCCAGGTCCCAGAATAGCACCGACAACAACAGCCCACGCAGCGCCTGAGCTCCCCCCCTGAGGTCCACTGGTGCCATGGTCCACTGGAGCCATGGTCCACTGGTGCATGGTCCACTGGTGCCATGGTCCACTGGTGTCATGGTCCACTGGTGCCTTAGTCCACTGGTGCCATGGTCCACTGGTGCCATGGTCCACTGGTGCCTTAGTCCACTGGTGCCTTAGTCCACCGGTGCCTTGGTCCACTGGTGCCTTAGTCCACTGGTGCCTCCACTGGTGTCATGGTCCACTGGTGTCATGGTCCACTGGTGTCATGGTCCACTGGTGCCTTAGTCCACTGGTGTCATGGTCCACTGGTGTCATGGTCCACTGGTGCCTTAGTCCACTGGTGTCATGGTCCACTGGTGTCATGGTCCACTGGTGCCTTAGTACACTGGTGCCTTAGTACACTGGTGCCTTGGTCCATTGGTGCCTTGGTCCACTGGTGCCTTGGTCCATTGGTGCCGTGATGTCAGGCAGGTTAAGTTCCGCTGTAATACGTAGCTATTGTATATTCATTGTATATTCTCAGTGATATTTTGGGATCGCCAAATGTCAGATACAATGTGAGACTGTATAATGAATGGAGGGAGCCTGCCAGGGTTCCAAACAGCTCATTTCCTGTTTGGAGTGTGTCTTTGTGTGTCTGTGTGTTGTAGAAAGCCAAATTGCACCACATTCAACCTTGTCTTAAGAAATTGTCTCAAATATAGTAGTAAACCGACTGTCTATTCCACCGTCTAAAGCCAGAGATTTTAGACTAGAGTAATTGTTCATTTTTCTTGTGTTGTGTGCTCCTCACTCTGACACTCTAACTGGTGATGCAACACTGAAATTTCCCCACTTTGTAAACACTGTTTTTTGTGCCATACAAAACAAAGATGTATTATCATTATTAGTATTATTAACAATCCCGCAGTAGTCTCAGGAGAGAAGCATTGCGGATCGTCAAGAAAACGTGTCGCCGCGGTATTGCCCTAAATCACGATTGGCGACAACATATCAGAGAATCAGAAACAGTTTAATCGCAGGAAATGCTAAAAAAAAATTAACACATAGGAGCCATTGGTTCATAGAGAGTGGGCGACCAAGGAAAGCTTTATTATACATATACATATAACTATAAGTAAGATAAAAGTATAATTTCTTACAGACAGAACTGCACTGAAGTCACTAACACAGCAGTTTTCTTCCACTACCCCACACTCTAAAGTTTCCTCAAGTAAAAGACTGGCTCAAAGCCCTTTGACGGTGACTGGTCTGACTCTGATGGACACATATTTTTGCCTCGTATCGACAGCAGAGGAAAAACGCATCCAAAGTTCAGAGGTTTTCCCGATAACAAGTACGTCCCAACACCTTTTCTCCAGCTTCTCCCTTCACCCCCATGACCTCAGCACCTCCCCATCGCAGACCTGTCACACCTCTGCCCCCGGCCCTCACCCGTACCCTCACCCGCACCCGCACCCTCACCCCGGTCCTCACCCCGGCGCTCACTGAGGTTTCGCAAATTAAATTGTGCCCAAAATAAGCCGCCGTAGAGCCGTGTCTGCGTCAGATGTGCCATGGCAACCGCTGAGCCTCTCTGCTTTACTTTCCCCAAACACTTTTATATTAAGGTCCTTTATTCGTCCCACTGTGATATGGACCAATATCATTTCATTTCTTTTAAGATGACGTTAGAAAGTTCACCCTGATTGTTGACATTGGGCAGCTGCTGGTGATTTAATATGTGTAGAAATGTTTTATTCATTATGAATGTATAGACCATTACAGTACTTGTCGGACTGTAAGCCACTAATTTTGTCAATAAATGTCCACGATATTTAGACCGTGGTCATCCCGCTCTCTATGGACAAATGGCTCCTCTCTACAGTATGTGTTCGTTATTATTGTTTACTTAATTACTTAATTGTTGGTGAGCCGACAAGAAATCCTCCAACACGACTGCTGTTGTGATTTAGAGCTATATACAAATACATTGAAGTCAATTGAAGTTGAATAAAGTGAAGTTAAGAAACCGGAGCACCTGGAGGAACCTAAGTTCTTGTATCCCTTGGGGAGATACTTGAAAAGTACCTGAAAACAACCTTTTCAGCTCTACCTGAGAGGGTGGCTCAGCTCCCGAGGCCAGAAGACCCCTGATATACAGGCTATGTTAGCATTGTCCATCTGTATACAGGCTATGTTAGCATTGTCCATCTGTATACAGTCTATGTTAGCATTGTCCATCTGTATACAGTCTATGTTAGCATTGTCCATCTGTATACAGTCTATGTTAGCATTGTCCATCTGTGTTCAGTCTATCTATAGGCCTGTGTGTCCATTGCAAACATGTGAGTTTACGCCACATCGCCATGGCAACCAACACTTTTTTTTCCTCCCCTGCCTGTTTACATTGCGTGGAATTGGCCCAGGCTAATTGCATTCTGCTTGTGGTAAGATAAGTGTCGTCCGGAGGGGATCGAAACAAGAGCACGCGCCCGGACACTTGGGACTATGGAGGAACACCATGTGGGTAAGTTTGCACTCTCTCACCCCCCCTGCAGCCTCTGTCGCTCGCCCACCTCGCCGCGTTGTTTACAGAGCCCTGTGTGTGCACTCTGCTCTGACTAATTACACCGCTGTGAAATTGAAATAGTCTGGTGGAATCGCTGCGTAGTTAAATTAGAATAAAACAAGTGACTGTTATTTACAGCTTTGAATTTATGAGGAAAACAGATTTATTCCAGGGAGACTTATACACAGTAATCAGAATTTAGCAAGAGTTAAGGTTCAACTATTCCGACAATGTAGTCACTTAACTTTACTTTGCTTAACTTGAAATACTGCATCGATCATGTTGTTGTTGGGGCAAAGTATTGTGCAATGTATATTTGTGACGCAGCAAATGTGTATACAGTATTTGTGTTGTGGTTGAGTGTCTCCCGAGCACCAGGAAGGGACGGTGGCGCAGTGGATAGCACCTGTTCATCACAGCGAGAAGGTCCTGGGTTCTTTCAGTGTGGAGTTTGCATATTTTCCCCTGTCTACGTAGGTTTCCTCCAGGTGCTCCGGTTTCCCCTACCACTAAAAACATGTGTCAATGGAACACGGTGAGGGTTGAATGAGTGTGTTTGTGAGTGTGGGACTACAGATGGAAATTAGCTACAGTCTGGTGTATTTCCAAATCTTCTGAAATAAACAATTAAAATAAAATAATTATAATTATAATAATCGGTTTTATATAGCGCTTTTCAAAAACTCAAAGACGCTTCACAATTCAGGACACACACACACGTTTAGACAGACACACAAAACTAAAATCTAAAAGCAGGAAAGAAGGGTCCAAAGCTGAAACTAGGAGTCATATGCGTGGAGGAAGAGCTGAGTTTTTAGCTGTTTTTTAAGGAGTTAAGAAAGTCAGAGTTTCTGAGATGGAGGGGGGAGAGAGTTCCAGAGAGTGGGAGCAGAGATGGAGAAAGCTCGGTCCCCCATGGTTCGGTGCTTAGATTTGACAGTGGGAGTGAGGAGATGTGAGTCTGCAGATCGGAGTCGACGGGACTATAAGGCTGTATAAGTTCAGTGAGGTAAGGAGGAGGGAGGTTATGGAGGGCTTTGTGGGTGATTGAAGAGGATTTTGAAATGGATGCGCTGTTTGATGGGAGCCAGTGGAGTTTTTGAAGGACAGGGGTGATGTGTTCTCTGGAGCATATATACATTTAAACAGCTGTTTATGTGAACGACAACACAAGGAGATGCACAAAAAACACGTTACATGATCAGGGTATTAGGGCTCGTTCTCAGCTGACTGCGAACCTACAGCTTTCACCAAGTCAGGGTTTAGTGAGGATTTTAGTTTCTCCTTGTCATTCTGAACCTTTTTCATCTCAATAAATCCACACTCTCGTCTGCTCTAATCTACAGTTTAGTCGTCGTCGTCGTCTCCTCCTAAACACCAGGAGAGAACGACCAGGACAGATCCACTGGGACAGAACCACCAGGACAGAACCACCGGAACAGATCCACCCGGGACAGAACCAACGGGACAGAATCCCCGGGACAGATCCACCAGGACAGAACTACCAGGACAGGTCCACCGGGAATGAACCACCAGGACAGAACCACCAGGACAGATCCACCAGGACAGAACTACCAGGACAGGTCCACCGGGAATGTACCACCAGGACAGAACCACCAGGACAGATCCACCAGGACAGAACTACCAGGACAGGTCCACCGGGAATGTACCACCAGGACAGAACCACCGGGACAGAACCACAAGGACAGAACCACCGGGACAGAACCACCAGGACAGAACCACCAGGACAGAACCACCGGGACAGATCCTCCGGGACAGAACCACCAGGACAGAACCACCAGGCCAGATCCACCAGGACAGAACCACCAGGACAGAACCACCAGGACAGTTCCTCCGGGACAGAACCACCGGGACAGAACCACCGGGACAGAACCTCCGGGACAGAACCACCAGGACAGAACCACCGGGACAGATCCACCGGGACAGAACCAACGGGACAGAATCACCGGGACAGATCCACCAGGACAGAACCACCAGGACAGATCCACCAGGACAGAACTACCAGGACAGGTCCACCGGGAATGTACCACCAGGACAGAACCACCGGGACAGAACCACAAGGACAGAACCACCGGGACAGAACCACCAGGACAGATCCACCAGGACAGAACTACCAGGACAGGTCCACCGGGAATGTACCACCAGGACAGAACCACCGGGACAGAACCACAAGGACAGAACCACAAGGACAGAACCACCGGGACAGAACCACCAGGACAGAACCACCGGGACAGATCCTCCGGGACAGAACCACCAGGACAGAACCACCAGGCCAGATCCACCAGGACAGAACCACCAGGATAGAACCACCAGGACAGTTCCTCCGGGACAGAACCACCGGGACAGAACCACCGGGACAGATCCTCCGGGACAGAACCACCAGGACAGAACCACCGGGACAAATCCACCGGGACAGAACCAACGGGACAGAATCACCGGGACAGATCCACCAGGACAGAACTACCAGGACAGGTCCACCGGGAATGAACCACCAGGACAGAACCACCAGGACAGATCCACCAGGACAGAACTACCAGGACAGGTCCACCGGGAATGTACCACCAGGACAGAACCACCGGGACAGAACCACAAGGACAGAACCACTGGGACAGAACCACCAGGACAGAACCACCGGGACAGAACCACCGGGACAGAACCACCGGGACAGAACCACCGGGACAGAACCACCGGGACAGAACCTCCGGGACAGATCCACCGGGACAGAACCAACGGGACAGAATCACCGGGACAGATCCACCAGGACAGAACCACCAGGACAGATCCACCAGGACAGAACTACCAGGACAGTTCCTCCGGGACAGAACCACCGGGACAGAACCACCGGGACAGAACCACCGGGACAGAACCACCGGGACAGAACCACCGGGACAGAACCACCGGGACAGAACCTCCGGGACAGAACCACCGGGACAGAACCACCGGGACAGATCCACCGGGACAGAACCAACGGGACAGAATCACCGGGACAGATCCACCAGGACAGAACCACCAGGACAGATCCACCAGGACAGAACTACCAGGACAGGTCCACCGGGAATGTACCACCAGGACAGAACCACCGGGACAGAACCACAAGGACAGAACCACCGGGACAGAACCACCAGGACAGAACCACCAGGACAGAACCACCAGGACAGTTCCTCCGGGACAGAACCACCGGGACAGAACCACCAGGACAGTTCCTCCGGGACAGAACCACCGGGACAGAACCACCAGGCCAGATCCACCAGGACAGAACCACCAGGACAGAACCACCAGGACAGTTCCTCCGGGACAGAACCACCGGGACAGAACCACCGGGACAGAACCACCGGGACAGACCCACCGGGACAGAACCTCCGGGACAGAACCACCGGGACAGAACCACCGGGACAGATCCACCGGGACAGAACCAACGGGACAGAATCACCGGGACAGATCCACCAGGACAGAACCACCAGGACAGATCCACCAGGACAGAACTACCAGGACAGGTCCACCGGGAATGTACCACCAGGACAGAACCACCGGGACAGAACCACAAGGACAGAACCACCGGGACAGAACCACCAGGACAGAACCACCAGGACAGAACCACCGGGACAGATCCTCCGGGACAGAACCACCAGGACAGAACCACCGGGCCAGATCCACCAGGACAGAACCACCAGGACAGAACCACCAGGACAGTTCCTCCGGGACAGAACCACCGGGACAGAACCACCGGGACAGAACCACCGGGACAGAACCACCGGGACAGAACCTCCGGGACAGAACCACCAGGACAGAACCACCGGGACAGATCCACCGGGACAGAACCAACGGGACAGAATCACCGGGACAGATCCACCAGAACAGAACCACCAGAACAGATCCACCAGGACAGAACTACCAGGACAGGTCCACCGGGAATGTACCACCAGGACAGAACCACCGGGACAGAACCACAAGGACAGAACCACCGGGACAGAACCACCAGGACAGATCCACCAGGACAGAACTACCAGGACAGGTCCACCGGGAATGTACCACCAGGACAGAACCACCGGGACAGAACCACAAGGACAGAACCACCGGGACAGAACCACCGGGACAGAACCACCAGGACAGAACCACCGGGACAGATCCTCCGGGACAGAACCACCAGGACAGAACCACCAGGCCAGATCCACCAGGACAGAACCACCAGGATAGAACCACCAGGACAGTTCCTCCGGGACAGAACCACCGGGACAGAACCACCGGGACAGAACCACCGGGACAGAACCACCAGGACAGAACCACCAGGACAGATCCACCAGGACAGAACTACCAGGACAGGTCCACCGGGAATGTACCACCAGGACAGAACCACCGGGACAGAACCACAAGGACAGAACCACCGGGACAGAACCACCAGGACAGAACCACCAGGACAGAACCACCGGGACAGATCCTCCAGGACAGAACCACCAGGACAGAACCATCAGGCCAGATCCACCAGGACAGAACCACCAGGACAGAACCACCAGGACAGTTCCTCCGGGACAGAACCACCGGGACAGAACCACCGGGACAGAACCACCGGGACAGATCCTCAGGGACAGAACCACCAGGACAGAACCACCAGGCCAGATCCACCAGGACAGAACCACCAGGACAGTTCCTCCGGGACAGAACCACCGGGACAGATCCACCAGGACAGAACCACCGGGACAGAACCACCGGGATAGATCCACCAGGCCAGATCCACCAGGACAGAACCACCAGGATAGATCCACCGGGACAGAACCACCAGGACAGAACCACCGGGACAGAACCACCAGGACAGAACCAACGGGACAGAACCACCAGGACAGAACCAACGGGACAGAACCACCGGGACAGAACCAACGGGACAGATCCACCAGGACAGAACCACAGGACAGAACCACCAGGATAGATCCACCGGGACAGAACCACCAGGACAGATCCACCGGGACAGATCCACCGGGATAGCTCCACCAGGACAGAACCACCGGGACAGATCCACCGGGACAGAACCACCAGGACAGAACTACCAGGACAGGTCCACCGGGACAGAACCACCAGGACAGAACCACCGGGACAGAACCACCAGGACAAAACCAACGGGACAGAACCACCAGGACAGAACCACCGGGACAGAACCACCAGGACAGAACCAACGGGACAGAACCACCGGGACAGAACCAACGGGACAGATCCACCAGGACAGAACCACAGGACAGAACCACCAGGACAGATCCACCGGGACAGATCCACCGGGACAGAACCACCGGGACAGATCCACCGGTACAGAACCACCAGGACAGAACTACCAGGACAGGTCCACCGGGACAGAACCACCAGGACAGAACCAACGGGACAGAACCACCGGGACAGATCCACCAGGACAGAACTAGAACAAAACCACCAGGACAGAACCACCAGGACAGAACCACCAGGACAGATCCACCAGGACAGAACCACCGGGACAGAACCACCGGGACAGAACCACCAGGACAGAACCACCAGGACAGATCCACCGGGACAGCACCACCAGGACAGAACCACCGGGACAGAACCACCAGGACAGAACCACCAGGACAGAACCACCGGGACAGAACCACCAGGACAGATCCACCAGGACAGTTCCAACGGGACAGAACCACCAGGACAGAAGTCGATCACAGACATATGGAACCTGTTCAATGTAATCTTCTTTACACCCGACACAAACAAAGAAAAAAACCTTGAAACAGCGACACAACGAAAGGGGAACCATGTTATACACTATAAAAAGTGTCAAATACTTTTCAAATTTGGCAAAATGTGTCTTAATTTGAGCACATTCTGACTGCCTTAAAACTAAAATTTGCCAATGGGACAAAGCTAAATTATCTTGTTTTAAAAAGATACAAAAAATGCCTCCTTTGGAATGAGAAAATCTAGCGGCAGTTCTTCTAAATTGCTTTGTCCCATTTGCAAAGCTTGTTCTCAGACTGTCAAGATGCTCAAATTAAGATAAAAAAAAAAACACTCAGAGCAATCATTACCTCTTTTATCATTTTTTGCAGTGTAGCGAGGGACCACTGCAGTAAATGGACCCACATCTGAGTTAGTTATAAACTGTATTGATCCCGTAGGAGATATTCAGTTGCAGCAAAACTACTGGACACCCAAAAATCTGAGTTATAAAAAATGTCAGTGTGTAATAATGAAGAGTTTACCACAGTTTAGATCAAAATAACCATAGATTTATCACAGGTTTGTTTTTCTCCTCGGTTCATAAACGTCTGAGCCGCCGTCGTCATGAGACAGGAAGTGGTGTTAAAACGTCGAGATAATTACATGATCATCATTTTCGGATTTCGACAAACAGACAAATTAGACTTGGTGAGGAAATAAGTCTCACTCATTATCAGACTTCACCGACACACGAGAGAAAGGACATGGACGCAGAAGCTCCAAAAATAAAAGTCCTTTTTGATCAGAAATTCAACATCAAGTCATCACTTTTAGCATAAACTGTAGAAATGGTTTGTGTTACCATGGAGATTGCTAAACCGCTAGCTCATCAAAGCCCAATAGGGAAGTGCTCATGGTCAAAGTTTTGCTCCATCTTGCTCTAGTTACGCACTCTCTCTGTTTCTGGTGTTTTTGCTTTGACTTTGCCTTTGTAAATCCAGAAACGGGTCATTTATGGATTGACCAATCAGATGCCTTCATTCACGAGGGAAACCCCAGCTTATTTTCGCAACCGTCATAGCAACACAATTGCCCCTGTTACGACGCAAAGCTAGAGCCACAGAGGAAATGCCCATATTTCTTCCACATTGGCTACAGCTAGTTTCAAATCCAGTGCAGTAAAACCACATTGGAATACATTGCAAAAGTCCCGAGTGTGCACCAGACACCTCCACCTCCAGACCTTTCTATGTGGAGTTTGCATTTTTTTTCCCTGTGTCTGCGTAGGTTTCCTCCTGGTGCTCCGGTTTCCCCTACCTCTAAAAACATGTACAACAGGTCTGGCATGTGCCTCCTGTACTGGCGACTCTGCTCCAATCTCTGTGTGGAGTGAGAGACAAACACCCACTTTGTAAAGCTCTTTTTGACTGTGGTCTGTGAAAGGCTCTATTTAAATAAATATGTTCACTCCTAATATACATTCTATAGTTTCCTACAAACTTCAAAAGCCTCTCAGTCGTCCGTCGCTCCTTTTCCAAACGTATCATTACTGGACCCAAAATGCAGGAGTGTCAAAAATATCAGGTTGAAAACACACAAACTCAAAAATTACAAAATACAGGTTTACAGCAACACAAAACTCCAAACCAAGACGAAACAGGGACAAAAACACAATGGACCAACAACAAGGGAAGAAGAGCACAGGGTTTAAATACACAAAGGGACACACCATTTTTATTTATGTAGCGCCTTTCACAGAACAGAGTCACAAAAAGCTTTAGAATCGTTGTGGGCGTTTGTCTCTCACTCCACTCAGAGACGGGAGCGAGTCTACCGTACAGGAGGTGCATGGCAGAACTTCAATCTGGAGAGACTCAGAAGACAAAATGCAGTTTGAATGTTTTTATTGATAGGTAGTTTGGCGTCCTAGGCCCCTGTGCGGCAATTAGGGCCAGCGAGGCTCCTGCTTAGTGCGCGCACGATCCCCCCGAGGCCTAGGAACTGGTGGTGGCATTAGGGCAGCAGGAAAGAGCGCACGCTCAAGCAAGGAGAGAGAGGCGGAGGAGGGGAGGCGGTGGTTTGCGAGGCTTGAGAAGGCCGTGAAGTGGGACTCTCCGCTTTTAAGCTGCTTGCCTGGCCTGCATAGGTTGGCTGGGAATGGGCGTTTGCTGTGCGATAGGCCGAGGATGAGAGGCAGGCTTGGAGGGGATAGCTTTGGCAGTCAGTCTACCAGTTTGAACCTTCGCAAAGCTCCATTATTATACATGTTAGTGTATGTGATAGTGGTAGGGGAAACCGGAGCACCTGGGGGAAACCTACTTAGACACGGGGAGAATGTGAATTGTTAATTTGCAAATACAGATAAGTGCCATTAGAAAAAAAAAGATTAGAAATTATTATTACTCTTTGATAAGTAGTTTTTAAAGGCCAGGTTTAATTGAGTGCTATACAAATAATATTTCACCCCTTGTTGTACAACTGTTTGACACATTTTCAAAACGGAGATATCTGTTTCAAAAAACTGAAATGAAAACACAGAAAACAGAAGTCAAAGTAAAACCAAATACAGACACCATGACAAAGGTAGCCTGGTGGTCGTACCATACCATAGTACAGGGGTTCCCAAAGTTTTCAGCCCGCGACCCCCATCATGAATGCGCTGCTCCCCCGCGACCCCCCACATCAACAGTCCTTCCTGTCACATGAAATGAGCATGTATTTCCTTGATACGGAGTAACGCTTTATAGAGACTCGCGCCACTACTGAGCTGCACTGTCCAGCCCAAAAAAGGAGGCTTGCGTATTTTTACTCTCGTAGGGACACAGTTATGGGCTTGATGGGCTCCATTCTTAGAAGAAGTGGAGCGCATTTCTTGCGGCTCGCCCTCTCTGTTCTCCGACCGTGGTTAAGTGGCCCAGCTTTTAATAAAGCTGCCACCCGCTTTTAATGTGCGAACCTCTTTACCTTTGACTCCGAAAAGCCGGTGTCCTGTCGAGAAGTGCACCCTTTGTTGAAATCAGAATCAGAATCATTTTTATTGCCACGTAAGTAACAGGAAGTCACAGACTTGGAAATTGCTTTGGCTCAGTGCAACAGTCAGAAAGAGAGAATAAAAATAAAGAATAAAATAAAGAATAAAAAACACTTCTAAAGAATACATTTAAATTCAAAATAGAGTTACAGTTACTATTTACAATATACAAGTGCACATGGTGCACACAATGTAAGGTGACAGCAGTACAGTGGAGTAAAGTGACGTATGATGGGCAGTAAAGTTACTTTATAAAGGGCGGGGGGACAGGTTAAGAAGTGTTCAAGAGTCCAACAGCAGAGGGGAAGAAACTGTTCTTGTGGCGGGAGGTTTTAGTCCTGATGGACCGCAGCCTCCTGCCTGAGGGGAGTGGTTGGAATAGTCCGTGTGCAGGGTGAGAGGGGTCGGCTGTGATACGACCAGCCCGGCCTCGAGCTCGGGCGACGTACAGGTCCTGCAGCGATGAGAGGCTGCGGCCGATCACTTCCTCTGCAGAGCGCACAATGCGCTGTAGTCTCTGTTTGTCCCTGACTGTGGCTCCAGCGAACCACACGGTGACGGAGGAGGTGAGGATGGACTCGATGATGGCCGTGTAGAACTGCACCAACATCTGTGCAGGCAGCTTGGCTTTCCTGAGCTGCCGCAGGAAGTACATCCTCTGCTGGGCCTTCTTGATGAGGGAGCTGATGGTCGGCTCCCACTTGAGGTCCTGGGTGATGGTGGTGCCCAGGAAACGGAAGGACTTCACAGAGGTGATGGGGGAGTCCATCACTGAGGGTGGGGGCGGGGGGACAGTGCTCTTCCTGAAGTCCACAATCATCTCCACTGTCTTCTGGGCGTTCAGCTCCAGGTTGTTACCACTGCACCAGGACATCAGCCGGTCCACCTCCCTCCTGTAGGCGGACTCATCGTTGTTGGAGATGAGTCCAATGAGGGTGGTGTCGTCCGCGAACTTGATCAGCTTCACGGAGTCGTGGCTGGAGGTGCAGTGGTTGGTGTACAGGGAGAAGAGCAGGGGAGAAAGAACACAGCCCTGTGGGGCTCCTGTATTTATAATCCGAGAGTCCGAGACATTCTTCCCCAGACGCACTCGCTGCTTCCTGTCCGTCAGGAAGTCAGTGATCCACCTGCAGGTGGAATCGGGCACGTTGAGCTGGGAGAGCTTGTCCTGGAGCAGGGATGGCAGGATTGTGTTGAAGGCAGAGCCGAAGTCCACGAACAGGACCCTGGCGTAGGTCCCCGGGGAGTCCAGGTGCTGTAGGATGTGGTGGAGGGCCAGGTTAATGGCGTCGTCTACAGATCTGTTGGCTCTGTAGGCGAACTGCAGGGGGTCCAGGAGGGGGGAGGTGAGGGACTTGAGATGGGAGAGAACCAGGCGTTCAAATGACTTCATGACGACAGACGTAAGTGCTACAGGTCTGTAGTCATTGAGTCCTGTGATCCTGGGCTTCTTCGGGACGGGGACAATGATGCATCCCCACCCGCCGAAAGCAACTGTCCATAGCTTAGTCATTATGAATTTTTACTTATTAAACATGTCAACATATTTATGATTTATTAGATTTAATAAAATGTAGCATATTAGTTTAATGTACTGAATACATGGCGTGCACTCCCTGTCGAAATTTGCCTCCCCACCCGCCGAAAGAGAACACGTTATCACCACTTTATGAGCCAGTATTTTGATCTTTTAAAAAGGAAAAGCGAGTAGCTTAGAATGTTATATTATATACGTGCATTCTACATCCTTATTATCTTACTGCACAATTGTGCAATAGTTGCTAATGCAGAAGTCCAGACGCCAACTTAAGACGTATATTTATTTACATTATTGTCCACATCTTCACGTGAATTTGAACTAGTACTACATCACTGTAATGTCTAGTGCCATAGTGTTCAGCACAAAATACACAAGTGTAATCTTGTTTATCGTAAATAAAACTACTCACGTGAAGCTGGAGATGCAAAATCCGATGGC